TAGATTAGAGTTATTAAGTTGTGTGTTACTAAGCAGACTTGTAGAGGAACATAGTGTTAAGAGTTTTGAGTGGAAGAGTGCAATTTGAGGATGTAAGTTGCTGGTGTGACTCATAGGTGGCATTGTCTTGGATTAAGGGTAAGGAGAGAACATGGAAACCATGGGTGGAGAATAGAGTGAATGCCATTAGAAAAGTTGTTGATAGAGAAAAATAGAATCATTAATGGTTAGTTGAACCCAGCTGATTTTCCTATTGGAATAAGTAATTTTGTTGATTTGGGACATTGGTTGAAAGAAACAAACAACTGGTTTAGATTATGCAGGACCTTTATTTATAAAAAGAGTTAATAAGAACGCTGCCTGGAAGGTCTATGTTTTGCTATTGACTTGCGCGTCTAGTCGAGCAATCCACCTTGAACTGACACCTGACATGAAAATTCCTGCCTTCATAAGAGCTTTTAAGCATTTTGCAGCGCGAAGAGGTTTTCCTTATTATCTCTGATAATTTTAAAACCTTTATATCTAAAGAAGTTAAAAATTTTATGATGAAAAATGATGTGCAACAGAAATTTATTTTACCAGCTTCCCCCTGGTGGGGTGGTTTCTACGAACTTTTAGTTAGATCTGTTAAAATTACAATGATAAAAACAATTGGAAAGTTTTTTTTATCTTACGAAAAACTAGAAACGATACTATGTGAAATCGAATCTGTGATAAACAGTCGTCCACTATTTTATTTGAACGAGGATGACACTGAAGAAGAATTAACACCATACCATTTAATGATTGGACGAAATATTGATAATAAAATTAATGGAATTTGTATACTACCTGAAGATATTTTAAAAAGAACTATATTTATCAAAACAACAATATTTAATTTTTGGAAAAGATTTACAACTTCTTATCATAATGAACTTAAACAACACCATTTATATGTTAATAATAAAACTTCATATACAAAACAGTTACTAATAAATGATGTAGTTCTTTTACGAGATGATATCAAGATCCCTAGAAGTCAATGGCGTATGGGAAATGTTTTGGAACTTATAAGATGAACTGATGGAAAAGTATGAGGTGCGTGTTTACAAGTTTTATCCAAAGAAGGAACTAGAACAACCTGTTTCTGACCTATTTAAAAATTAATACCCTTTGAAAATACCAATGAAGCAAACAAAATAAATGAAGATAAAAATGGTAGATCAACCAAAGATAAACCAGGTGCAATTGCTAACGGGCAGGTCAATTTGTAAGCGGCCGATCAGACAGGCAGCGAGCGCAAAAGCCAACATAGGGGTGTATGTTAAAAGTGTAAATATATATACAGCTTTTTGTTACTTTAACCGGTTTTTATCTGGATTTTGATTTGGAATATAATTTTGATTGTACAAGTTTTTGTTAAGGATATTTTTGTAAGTTATCACGAAGTTACAGAAAGAAAGCAAATTAGCTTAAACCCTTATTGTCTTTACAAATAATTAAAGTTTAACAATTATTTACACCATGATTGCCTTCATAAATGATAAATCAATTTGCAACTGAGAAAGAATAAGTTGCAAACATGCAAAATTAAATATCAAAGGAAACCTTAATTCTAAATTAGATAATCTGTTTGACATAACTACTTATTGCTGTTTATTGGACATTGTGTCTTGTAACTATATTTATGTTAAGTGCAAAAGAGACAAATGCACAATGGAACACATAATTTGTATATGCCAAGGGAAGTAAAGATGCTAATTGAAGAAAGAGTTTATATTTATTATAATTTTTTGATAATTAATTTTAATCTCTTTTATAACTGTGGTAAAATATGTTACCTTTTTATTTAAGGAATATAATGAATGACAACCTAAAGAACTCAAACTGATTATATCATTTAGAAGTTTCCAAATATGCATTAAAGCTGATCAAATACAGATATGCTTTAAATCTCAGTGCAGCTCTTGGAAAAGTCTTATCAATATCAAGATCTATTCTAATATATATATATATATATATATATATATATATATATATATATATATATATATATATATATATATATATATATATATATATATATATATATACATATATATATATATTTATATATATATATTTATATATATATATTTATATATATATATTTATATATATATATATCAGGTAATTAGTCCTAATAAGCTGTGCATGGTCTGAAAAAAAATTGTCTCAAACCTGCTACTCCAGATGGCGCTGCTGTGGAGGCAAAAAAGAAAAGAAAGCCTGTAGCTAGAAAAAATTTAAAACTTTCTTTTGAAAGTTAAAAGTTTTTTTTGCTACATATATTTCTTTTACTATAAATATATGCTGCAGTCGTTTTTCAAAATGCCTTATTATGTTTATTTCGTATTTCAAGAAAAACGAAATTTAAAAGAAATTGTTAGAAGGAAAACCTTGTAAAACAAAACAAATAATTTTTATGAATTTTTTCAGAATTCTTAAAAAATATGTATTCTATAAGGTTTGCAGACATCTAAACTGGCTTATTTTGTAAAAAAATGAAAATTGATTTTTTTTACCTTAAGGCATTTTGAAAAACAACTGCAGTATAGATAATTCAACAAATATGTTGAAATGAGATAGTTTGACTCAAAATGTAAAAGCTCTTAACAAAAGCCACTAAACCAAAAAAAATTAAAAGTTATTGCAGTTCAGTGCACTAACAGTGCAAAATTTTAAGTATAGTGTATTGGTATTCGCAAAGAAGCATTATATAAATCATTTTTTAATTTTAATATAAACTAATATATATATATATATATATATATATATATATATATATATATATATATATATATATATATATATATATATATATATATATATATATATATATGTATATATATATATATATATATATATATATATATATATATATATATATATATATATATATATATATATATATATATATATATATATATATATATATACAAATATAATATTTGTTTATATAAATTGTTTATAAAGTGTAAAATATTTACTTATATAACGTTTTATTCAGGATCGTATGTAATATAAGTAAACTTTTTCAATAATTACAAGTTTTTTTTGCTCAAGCTGTTTCGTTTTGATTTTTTGTAGGTATGTTATTATATTTAAAAAAGTTGACTAGATTGAAAAAATGCATGACATATTGTCTCATCCAAGTGGAAAATTTGAAACTTCAATTTTAGATTTACCCCTCTCTTAATAATTTCTGATTGCTAAAATTACATCATCTGCTTCTACCATTTTAAATGGTCTACATTTAAAATGGTAGTCAAGGCTTTTTCGTAAATTGTTGAAGCTACAATTTTTTTGTGTATGTGACGTCATTTTGTGGCAAAAAACTAGAAAAACAAACTAGAAATAAGATTTTATTTAAATTAAAAAAAAAAACTCTTTCTATTAAAGATATATGGAATATATTTTTATGGAATATATTCTAATAAAGACAAAAACTATTTATTTATTACTATTGTAATAAATGCAATCTCTTATCCATGAAATGATATACCAGTTTTATATATTTTTATTGCATTTTTTTATTGCATTGCAGTTTTATTGCATTTGTATGCAACTAAATTAAAATTAATCAAAATTGTAAGACAAATACAACAGGAAACTTGACGCATAAAGGTTTATTTTGCCACAAACCAACGTCAATGCGCAAAATATTTTTGGCTTAACTTTTAGATTAGCGTTTAATATTATTCTTAAGTTTTTAATCATAATCATAAGAATGAACTTTTTTTAATGACTATGTTTTTGTGGTCTTCAGATCTTTAGTTTTCAGGTCTTTAGATCTTCTTAATTCCATTTGTACAGCGTTAAGTTCAAACGTCTGTAAGTGTAAACCTCTTTAGCATTTGAGTTTGCAGACATTATATGGAATAATCTCATATAATGTATCTACAAATTGAGAAAACTTAAAAATTTTATTTTAAAGTTCAGAAATCTTTTTTGCTATATTATTATTATTTTGCTATATTATTATTATTTTGCTATATTATTATTATTTTGCTATAAATATATAAGCAAGATTAAAAAAATTTCAAAATTTATTATGCAAAGAGGAGGTCTTAAACCCCCCAAAACAACACTGATAACAGCACACTTAACCACTGAGCTATCAATGAAATGCATTTAGCAGAAGAACAAATATAACTATAAGTCTCTTATAATAAGCACTATGTATGCAGAAAAGGTGCACATGTAACTTTTTTTGCTCCTAAAGTTTTTTTTCAGAGCAAAATTATTTTACTAAAAAACATTGAAGTATATAAGGAATAGGTTTAGAAATAATCAGTGTCGAATAGGTATGTATAGAAATGGTAGGTTTTGTAAAGACCCATATTTAACAGATCTGGAAAGCTAAGATATATAAGGAAAAAGTATAAAAAAGTTCGGTTTAAAATAGACTTACAATGACCCATATTATTACAGGTCCGATCTCAGCTAGTATATATTATTTTGTTTGATATAGTTTTTTTTTTTTCTTAGGCTGACAGGTCCAACTTGCATATAGGATAATCAGGCTTTGTCTAAATATCCAAAATAAACAAATGGTGTATTTCATTCAATCCCATAGTTCACTGTTTCTGTTTTTAACTCATAACTTTTTACTGGAAATAGCAAGTTTGATTTAAAAAAATATTCTTGACCAGCGTAAAAAATTATACAAGGATACATTTTATGTTCAATGCCAGCAATTTTCACTTTAAATTATAATCTGGCTGAAATTTTGACCATTCAGAGAAAAAAATTATTTTGTATTAAAATTTTATAGAATCTTATTAAAAAAAAAAACTCTCCACAATAAGATCAAAAAATAACTATTTCATTCTATTCTTTGTTTTATTATACCTGCTTTACTCAACTTTTTATGTTTTAAGATTATATATATTAATAACATTGTCAATAAAATTCTTTTATTATTATAAAGATCAAAAATTATTTTGATTGTTTTAATTTTAGTTTTTGTTTTTTAGGTTATAGTTCAATATAACCAACTCGATCTTGTTATGCATGTGGTATTCCAGCGTTTGCTTTTGGTAAAGTGGCAGTTGTTTGCTAAACGTGGCTCCACATACACACTTCTTATTAACTTGTACTTTACATTGATCTGGACATTTTTAGGTATTTTTATACCACGTGATCGAAATTATTATTCTCCACTGAGTAAAAATTGGTGGAGATTAGTTTTAGAAATCAATGGGGTGATGCTTACTGGTTATTTTATTTTTATGGTAGGTATTCTAAAAATAATTTAGATATTAAACAAATTATATTTAAAACATTATAAAACATAAATTATAAATATATTATAAAAAATTACAATAACTGTATAATTACAATAATTGTATAATTACAAATATATTACAAAATATAAATTTTAAGAAATTAATATTTGCAGATATCCCTTGTTAGGATTTATGGGTTTTCTAGCATTTGTGTGAATAAAAAATGAATTAGGAAAAAAAAAGTTTTTTTTTTTTTTTTAAGGAATTGTCTCAACTTAGAAAAATTGAAAATGCTCATAATATGTGGCGTCAATGGCGCACAAAGCATGTTGAAAAAGATCTGCGGTACTGTCACCCTAGATGGCCTGAAGAACGCAAATACTTGGAGTCCGAACTTGCTCAAATACGCACATTTCAAAGGACCTACTTTAGAGAGCCATGGAATATTTTTGAATGGATTGCTTATTTTGTCGTCTTAACATTAGTTTTAACTCGAATAATGGCTGTAGCTTTAAATGATCAAACTGCAAGTGAGGTTCATCCACGTGTATATTCACTTGGTTTGATTGTTATATGGCTAAGATTTATGAGGTCATGTCGTGCTTATAGAAGTCTTGGGCCGTTTATTGCAATATTAGGTTTGTTTAAAGATCACATTATTAAAATCAGTATTGCTAAAATAAAAGTTTTAAAAATTAATTTTTATTTTTATTATTATTATTTTTTTCTAATATTATTGTTTTTCTAATATTATTAAAGTAGTAAACAGATCTTTCTGTTTCATTTTTTTTGTTCTCATATTTTGTATTATTCAGAAATGCAACTTAAAATTATAAAAAAGTAAAAACATTCTAAATTTCTTCTACAGTTTTTTAGACTGTGAAAGAAGGTGAAACAAACTATAAAAGGAATTTGTATGAGTGTTTACTAATTTATATATATATACATATATATATATATATATATATATATATATATATATATATATATATATATATATATATATATATATATATATATATATATATATATATATATATATATATATACATATATATATATATACATATATATATATATATATATATATATATATATATATATATATATATATATATATATATATATATATATATATATACATATATATATATATATATATATATATATATATATATATATATATATATATATATATATATATATATATATATATATATATATATATATATATATAAATATACAGAGAGAGAGAGAGTCTTGATACTCAGGTGAAAGGTGAAACAAACTATAAAAGGAATTTAAATAAGTGTTTACTAATTAATATATATATACACACACACACACACACACACACACACACACACACACACATACACACACACACACACACACACACACACACACACAGAGAGAAAGTGATAGAGAGAGTGTCTCGATACTCATCTTAGGCAGACATCTAAAATATTATCTTAGGCAGAAGGTCTCCTAGGCAAAGAGTTAAAGTTAAACACACTCTATTGTTTGACCAACCTTGCACCCCTTCTGCATCTATTAGGCTGGCGCAGATGTAATTACATTGTTTCCGTTTTTAGATGTTGAATGCTTGATCTTCATTGTTCATTGTCAAGGCCACATTTAGAACTCTTTGTTACAGCTTAGGGTTCATTAATAGTAATGAGGCAATTGCTTGGATTATTAAATAGTGTACTGAGCACTACCTATGCTTTGAGTCAAGTTCTTTAACAAATTGAAAAATGAAGTACCAAAAACTATAAAACACAAAAAACCATCATCATCATCAAGTTCTCTAAACCTATCATTCACTAATAATCATTGTCTTCGAAGTAATTTTTCTTCTGTTATGTTTTCTCTTTGTGAGACTAATTTGAGTTCAGTTGCCTCACTCTTCTTTATGGTTTTCCTCTAATTGTGCTGCTGCAATGTCTAATTGTAACCATTACTTTCATACCTATCAGCAAAACAATTCTCTATTAAACAACTCGTTTCTTCGCGCAGAATACTTCTTCAAGGTTTGTGTTTTGGAGTTATAGAGTTGAGAGAGGGTTATAGCCACAAATAAGTAGCCTCCTTGTCTGTAGTGGCCTTCTCGGCCTTGAGGAGGTGAAAAAACAAAAAAAAACAGGCGTCTGTTTATTACTGCTAGAAACCATTTTAAAAAGGTTTTATCTAACACCAAAGCCGGCTAATCTCAGGTCACGAAATCTTGTATTTCATCTCTAAAATTAGGTTTTTGTGACTTCAGGAGAATCTTTAACAGTGTTTATAATAGAGGCAAATCTGTATTCTACCTCTCTTGTATGAATCAGTTTTTTTCACTTCACACAAAATCAAAGCTGAATTTTTTTAAAGATATTTTTGTTAATATCATCTCCTGATTCCCTTAGTCACGTTCAATCTGATATAAACTATAAACAGGTTAATCCAGTGCTTGATTTTCGTATCACTCCAGCTTCTGTATATAGTGTTTTCCTGCTTAGACTCTTGTGTTCCATACAACATACTTGTTATAGTCTTGCAGAAGTGTTTTCTGAAGCTGTTGTCTATACTTTCAAAACTATTTAAGAAGTGCTAATCAGAGTCTTGTTTTCTAGCCTGCTGGAAAAGGGCATCTGTTATCCCTATTTTTAGAAATTCTGGAGAGAAATTTGATACGTTTAAGTACCGTCTCATTAGTCTTCTTCCTATCACAAGTAAGGTTTTTGAGTCTTTCAACACCTAATCTCTCATCTTGTATCTAATAACTTTCTGATCATCAATATGAATTTCAGTGTTCTTGTTCTAATGCTGATATGGTAATGGTAAAAACTGATATGTTTTATTGTGCATTAGATAGATGTGGAGAGGCTAAGGCTATTGCTCTTGACATTTCTAAATCCTTTGATAGAGTTTGACATGCTGTTCTTCTCTATAAGGTCTCTTCTTACGATGTATCAGGTAACACCTTTAAGATTATTGAATCTTTCCTTACCAATCATAGTATAAAAGTTGATCTCAACGGACAGTACTTTTCTTCATATCCTGTTCCATATTCGAAGGTTCATTAAGGTTTTATCCAAGGCCCTATACTTTTTTTATTTTCACTAACGATCTCCCAGAAATTCTCACATCTAAGGTGGCATTGTTTGCTGATGATACTACCATTTATTCTTGATAAGAAGCCAATACTCTCTGATTGCTCGGAGTTTTTGAAGGATCTCACTTCTGCTACAGTATTTGGCTTTCTGTGGCTGATAATCTTTAACTCAGATAAAACTCAATTTTTTTCAGCTAATCGTTATCGTAATAATCTAGATCTTCCTTTATTTATGAACGGTAATGTACTTGATAAGTCATCTACTCTTCATCTCCTAAGATTAACTCTTATTTCCTATCTTTCTAGGAAACTATATATCAAATTCATTGCAAAATTAGCATCTGCTAAGGTTGCATCTCTTTATTGTTTTTGCCACTTTCTTACTCCGGATTCTATTTATTATCTCTGTAAATCTCAAATCATTCCTTTATGGAATACTGTTGTCATATCTGAAGTGGATCTTTAAATACTGCACTTTCTCTTTTAGACAAAGTGCAAAAATGTATTGTAAACATAGTTGGAACTGCTCTTGCAGCCAACTTCCAACCATTATGACACTGTCATAATGTTGCTTCTATATCTGTTTTCTATAAATACTATAATGGGCACTGCTCTAAGGAGCTAGCATCTCTTGTGCCATCTACTAAAGTTCTTCCTTATGTTACTTGTTATTCAACTAAGTCTCATTCTTTAGTGTGACTGTTCCTTAGTGCTCTAAAAATTCATATTCATCTAGTTTTTTTCTTTGAATATCAATTTTTTAGAATTCGCTTTGTTCATCTTGTTTTTCTAATTCATATAGTTTGCAATCTTTTAAGTTGTCTGTTAATCATTTTCTTGAGCTATAAACTTCATCTTTTCTTTTTCAGTAAATTTCAACTCTAATAGTGGTTGCTTACAGTTTTGTTGGAAGTGAAGTTGTTTAAAAAAAATAAAAAAAAAACAAAAAAGAGATATTTTTTATAAATAAAACTACGTATTTTTCACTACTATAAAGTTTCATGCTAAATGCCGTAACTCATTTAGCACAGCATTTAGTATGAAACTTATACTAGTGAAAAATATTTAGTTATATTTATAAAAAATATATATAAAGTTTTAATTTAAATCATTTTAATTTACTTTAATTTATCGGGGGCGCTTAGTTACAAATGCGATGTTTAGTTAGGTAATTCCAATGCTGTCATTTTTAAAGAGTGAATGACTAGATATTATATTGTCAATTACTTTTTATCAAAAATTTGAGTGTGATATAATGCAATTTTTTATCGCTTTTTATTGCATAATTGAATAAAATTGCTTTTCTGCTAACTGTCAATGCGATAACACCAGTGCTTAATGTACACACACGGGGCTAATGGGTGTAAGGCGCAAGTTAGTAGAAAATCACTTATCAAAATTTTTTCATTTTATACAGTGTTTAATCAATGAAGACTTATCAGAAATGAATGATCAAATTAATAAAATTCAATTTATACCAAAAATTTTTACTCTACTGATAATAGTTTTAAATGATCAGTAAAGTAAAATTAGCCACTGCCTTAGGGAGACAAATATGTAAATAAACCTTTTTATAAAATACAAAACTTTGTTTTGCAATTTTTTGTTATTTATATAAAAGTTTTTGTAAATAAATAAAATCATTCTTTTT